TTGTGGGTAACAATGGACATATCTAAGCTGGTGTACAGTACATCATAAGCTATTTTCACACTGCAGACCCACGTTTAGATAATGAGTTGACTCATGTCAACAGTATAAATATTTATAATTCGGCAATTATAACCAGATCTTGTAGTTCGCTGAGCTTCGCACAAAGATCTGGGATTCCCCAATAGGAGATTTCAGAAGGCGGGGGCCTTATAAAAAAAATCTTGTCCATTGTCTTGAATGACGTGCTACTTCAACCACTCACATTGAAGCACACGCTTTAATGTGAAGCGCTCCTCGCTGCATTGTGTGGTTTGACAGGCGCAGTTACTTAGACCAAACTTTTACTCTTAAAACCCACACATACATGAAACCATTAACATCTCGCCTCAAATTGCGTTCAAAGTGACATTTGTGTCTCAATTTGTTTGTATTTAACCCTTGTGTAGTGTTCATATTGTTGTTACTCAGCCAGTGTTTGTGGGTCTGATGGGCCCGTTGCATTGTGTGGCTTTTAATGCCTCACAATCACACAATTATGTTAAAATACTGAACAGATGTTTACCTAATCCCAATTACAAGCAGTATAAACAATATTTATGGTTAATACTTGTCCATGTTGTCTACCCCTCTGTTTGTGGCATTATAATCCATGATGATCTCTGGTTTGTGATGTTCCTGGTCACACATTCTTCCATCCTCGTTCTGTTACTCATGAGTACCACATTCTTGCCTTTCTTTGGCACATAGAATACCAGTAGTTTGATCCTCTGATGTTCTGTGTACCCACACTGTGTCCTCCTCCTGTCTAGGCCTGGTGTGTGTTTGTGTGTGTGTGTGTGTGGGGAGGTGGGGTTGGGGTGTTTGTGTGTGTGTGTGTGTGGGGGGAGGGGTTTGGGTGTGTGGGTGGGTGGGGGTGTGTTGGTGAGTGGAGCAAGGTCAATTTCCACACTTCTATTTGGCCCGGGTCCAGTGGACCCCGAACATCTTCTATGTAATAGAAATGTGTAGGGGGGGAGTACGGTGGGTGATATATGAATGAATGAATTCTGAATGAATTCTGATATATATTCTTCACAGAAAATGAGCCAAAGCCAGTGAGTCTCAGTTTAAAAAAATAATTAATTGTATAATTTTTCTTTTAATAAAAAGGGAAAAGGGGTCCCACAGACCCGAACACCACGCAAGGGTTAAACTTTTTAAACAACTGACGGACTTGCCGTGAGACTTGCATGCGCAGCTTTGCATTACTATTACATCATGAACAATAGATTTCGAGAAGGCGGTGCAAACCATAGACTGTAAATATGAACGGACGTAATCACACCTATGTCCGCCGTTCAAACTAATGCGCCACCACTTTTGGCTTCTATGGGCAGTTTCAAAATGGCTGCGGGGGCAGGAAAATGTCAAGAAAACACATTTGTGCATGTCGGTACAAGCCGCATTCATTTAACGAGTGCCTTCTGAAGTCCAGAGAAGCAAAACTAGACTGGTCCAAAAAACACTCCCCTCAGCGTTGACACACATGTGGAACGTCGCGTTGGGCCAAGAGCCGACTTTTGGACTATCCTGTAAAGACGTTTTGAGAGGTAAGAAGATGTAATTTATAGTATTTTCTTACCTCCGGGTCCACCCCCACTGGCCCGGGGTGGTATTGCAAGCATATCAGCGCACGCCATTTTGGACATTTTTGAGCCGGGATCCGCCCCCACTGGTGCAAACTGACGTTACAAAAAACCTGACGCACTGTGAACACGTGAATACATTTGGAGACTTTATTTTACAACATTTTACAAAAAGTATTTTGAGGATGTTTTATTATGATACAGTTTTGTCCATTTTCACATTGTACTTAATGTTACTGTTCTTAATTATGAATAGTAATATTATATTGCCTATAGATTTAGTTTAGCTGTAAAAGATACCTAATCTAATACCTCTAATTCTACATTCTCTTTGCGTGTCAATGTTTTAATCTCATTGCATCATTTTGGCCGACAATACTATTTTCTCTATAATCCAGGGCTGTATGATTATGGGCCCTTTGCTCTTGAAGCAGCCAAAAGCATGGCTCAGTCCAAGCAGATCACTGCTGTTGCATCTGAGTGCACAATATACGATGACAAACTTTATCATTTATTATTAAAAAAACTTGCGTATTTACCCACATTACTTCTGGCAGACAATTATCAGTTTTACAATTTACAAAGCAACTGCTGTACTTTGAATATATATATGTTATTTCGTTGTTTCTTGATGGTTTTGATAAAACAAAACAAGACTCAGATTGCAACAAAAATATGTATTTTCTGACCACCTGTTTATTACTGTCATTAGGCTTCTATCTGAGCACGAGGCATCTGGAAAAACTTAATGCAGCACGCCAACTACTGCTACGACAAGTATCCATAAAACCACACGTGTTGTAGCTAATATCGAGCTCCCGCTCCACCATCAAAGGCTGATTAAAAACTTCAATCGTCTCCACCACAGAAGCACAGAACAGTTTATCTCTGAACTGTTGTGGTCGCAGCTCTTTAATGTGGTCAACATCCTTGAGGACCATTGTGTCACTGTAGCCCATTTAATATACACAAAGTTATTGTTTGTAAAGGGTCAATGAGAGTGTACTCATGAATGAATTATTAACTGTTAAAATCAAAATAGTAAAAGATACATGAAATATGTGAGCAGGAGATTTTATACATGTATTTGTATTGTTTGTACAGATTATCCTTGATCTGTGTGTATGTGTGTATGTATGTGTGTGTGTGTGTGTGCTCGCGTGTGTGTGTCAGATGGATGGCAACTTCTTAACAAATAACTGTTAATCGGTGCTGATTCATTTTATATGGATGTTATGGAAAAGAAAATAGTGTTTGTTATATTATATGCATGCCAAACTGGTACTTATATCAAAGTATATCAAAATACTTCTTTCCATTCAAGTTGAATACATGTACTACTGAATCTGAAACTACTGAGTGAATTTGTTTAAAACCACAATCCTCATGATTTATATGACTTGACAGTATGACAAACTGTTGCATGATGATATTCTTCTGACATTTGCACTCCTTCATTATATCCACCTGAAAGTAAACGAAACCAGAATCAAGGACTATTTTCACTTTAGTGAGAAGTGAGATCAGTGTCCATATCTCATCTCTAACATCTGCTCCACATTTGCAGAATTAAATGGAAATTAATCTGTAATAATCTGCGACTGGTGCTGTGCCAGGGTTGGGGTCCCCTGCTTTACAGCTCATCATAATTTACCCCAGGCCTTGGCAGCAGCCGAGAATCAAAGGGAATCGCTCTGGGCAAAATATTTACTAATAAAAGTACATGGAGGAGTTTTTTTTCCCCTCCAGTTTTTCTTCCTTTAAGCTTTAAAATGTGTTCGTGCCTGGTAAGAGGTCTATTAAAGTGTGAATATAGTGTTGCATACCAGCGCTGTGCGATAAACCTGATAAGACATTACGCTCTTGTGGAAATACAACTCGAGCGTGAACACATGCTGCTGGCAAGATTAAGTCTACTATTTATGCTGAGGGACTGCGTTTAACTTCAATCTCCTCTGATAACGAAGTCTACGCACTTGTGCATTTGGGCAACACCTGTTGACCCAGAAGTGGAGCAGGGGACCTCGCTTTCAAAACACAATAGACACATAGAGCGGTGTTTCAAATACAGTTCATGTCACTATAGTTTCTTGCTTCCAAACAGTTTGGTTCATTTACTGGTTTTATTTTCACATTTTTAGATAATCTGAAAGTTAAAAAGAGAGGAGCACCTTCACTCAGCTGACTATGGTTGTAATTAGGTGAAGACGGCATGTTGTTTCTGTTGAGATCACATTATTAATACTTCCTCTCTTTTGTGAGTTTGCATATTTCATTTATAATAATGTCAATGATAATAATGCATCAGTTTCTATAGAACTTTTTTGGACTCTTAAAGACGCTTCACATGTCATTTCAGCCGACAATTCTATAAAGAGATGATTTTTGAGCAACAGACATCAATATAGTTGTACTTTTTTAATGAAGCTGTCAGTTGTGTCTGTGGACTCCTTCAAACAGTTAAAACAGTTCTAGTTTAAGTTGAGTTAGAAGAATGCAAAAGTTATTTCATACAAATACAATGTGGAATTTGGAGGTAATTAAGAAGCCATTGGCTTCAGCACATTCTTCTGCTGGTGGTGAGGCCTAAATGTAGCGATCAAAGGCCCTTCATACACCATTAACCAGAAAGTGCTGCCATAACCACAGCATTCGCCAACTTTAACACCATTCATGGAATTTTGCATTCATCCAGAAATAATGCGTTCAATTCAGATAAAAGGGACTATATTTCAAACACAATATGGGGCATAACATGGCCATGGATCTAATTTATTACAAGGAACATTTCTATCTGTTTATTTATTGGCCCTGACAGTTTGACAAATTCATGTCAAATAGACTTGCAGCAAATGGAACTGCAGATATTTCCCTTTGGTGCTGGTAGTGATGTACAGTAAGTGGACCAGTTTCAGATCACAACTTGGTCTAATGATGCCAGTGTCAGAAAAAGCTCTGTTACCGCATTTGATTCTGGTATCAGTAAATACAAGATTTCAAATAGACTTAAGTTCAGGATTTTTCCATAACATTTTAAAGTAATATTTGTTTGTGCTGTAGAGTTAATTTCTAAATTAATTTGAACTTCTTGGTTATTAGGATTGGTATTGCTATAGGCACTACAAAGTATTGTTATCGTATCCTAAAAGAATTTGCTGGAATATCCCTAGCTCCAGCTTGTTCACTCACGATGATGCGTGGTGGGGCAAAGCAAAGCGCTTGAAGGAAAGCGCCTGACACACCTGCCTGGGGATTGAACCCACTACTTCTTCTTGGTGTGATCCAGGTACCCCACCTTACTCCACACATTATGGCACGTGTTTGGCCTGGCTGCAAAGTCCGCCTTGGACTGCAGAGCTCGTGCGGACCTCCGGGATGGATCACTTCGAAACAGAGCAGGTGCACACAAACAGCAGAGAGGAGGTTCTGCTGCTGTCAGCCCAGAGTCCTGCTGAATGTCTCACTGTGGACGCACAGCACCATGTGCAGAGGTGTGGCATCACGTCTGTGTTTATGGAAGAAGATGAGAAGGGTACAGTCCTCATGCAAGAAATAAATTTCAGTTTTTTATCCAATGCACCTTCTACTTATATATTTGTTTCCCACAACCACAAAAACATGTTAAATCCTATTTCTGTAAAGTTCTGGTTTTGTAATCTACTGGGCTCAAGTCCTCCTCCAGAAAGGCCTTTCCTTGTGGAGTTTGCATGTTCTCCCCGTGTCTGCTTTAGTTTCCTCCAGGTGCTCCAGTTTCTCCTACCACTAAAAACATTCCCAGCTTTTCCAAGGGAATCCGGAGGTGTTCCCAGGAAAGCAGAGATGTATTCATCCATTTTCATGTTTCAATCTTGAACAGGGAAGTAACTAATTCATTTGAATGATGGGACTAAAATCAAAAGCTTAAAGCATCAAACATTGTTTTATATGTACCATGCTTTCTTATGCCTCTGGTGATTGTGCATAAGTGTCAATGAAAGTTCACCTGAAAAGACAAGCATTGTGACATTAAGCATTTGTTTTGTTGATGTGGCAAATGTGCTTTATGTAATGTTTTTCATTACATAAAGCAGTAATGGTAGTTGTTGAGACTGAGGTCTTTGAGATAAATTTAATAAAATGAGACAGTCCTCCTGTCGTGAGGTGTGTTAAAGACAGACAGCTATATGAGTTTGTTAGCATTCCCCCGTCACTGTTTATATTCAGTGTGTCACATATTTGACCTGTTTTTCTTTTGTGGACAAGAACCAATAAAAAAAGTATAACCCATTTTATTTGTTGCATGTTAGGCTATATTTCCCTCACCTATTTTGACAACTATTTTAAACAACAATTATCCCCAAGATGCTTGCAAACGCTTACTAGAAATATTTTCAGCGGCAGTTGTCAAGAAAAAGAACATTTTGACACAAATCCATTGAAGCAAGAGCAAGTATTCACTGAATCCTTACTGTGAAAGTCTCACGGAGGACCCAGATCCTTCGTATGAAAGGTTTGGGTTCTTTGTATAAAATTTTGGAAAGAAAGACCCGGGATTTCACGCTTTGATGTGATGTGCAAAAGAGATGTTTCTACTGTCATCCAAAAGTTAATGTTAACCTTAACATCAAGTCAAGAGTAGTATGGAGTTTGCCACAGAAACGTGTTACCTCCTTAGTCTGATACCTGCAGAAATCCTGTTGCCCTCCTTCTAGTCTGACTAAGCCCTCTGTAAAGGCCACAGCACACCCGTATGAAGCTGGCAGAAGGTTGGAGCATGCGGTCGTGTCTCCCTGAAGATATATCTCAATGTAATGTGTTTTAAAGCAGAGATTATGTACTGTAAACTGGATTATTAAGATGAACAGTAATGATAGGGGCAGGGGCAGAAATTACCAGTTGGGATGGAAAGTGGCATGAAATGTTAAAACTGTATATACATTTTAGTCTCTCTGACATTTTATTCAGATTGAAAAGGACTCGCCAAAGCGCACCAAAGATGGATCGTTTCAATTGTCCACATCCATTATTCACGAGTGTCAGTTTCCCATGGCAACACAAGTAAATGAAATAATACGAATCACTTTTGTGCCTCTTCCAAACCAACCAAACTGGACATTGTAAAAATCTTTTACACAGCATTGATTTTCCTCAGGTGAACTACGTTTGCACAAAAATAAATGCGTCTTTTACTGCCAGCCTACAACAACACAGCTGCAATAGCAAAAGCAACAGTCAGTCCATTCCTTGCCATGTCAGGGTCTGGGGGTGTCAAGAGAGCTGACCCCGAACGCACAGCAAATAAAAGTGATTTACGGCTGTCTCGCTGGCTGCACTGCACTTTATGAAACTGTCCGGAGCAGAGTTACAACCTCGGCGAACACACACCTACAGTACTGAAGTGGCCAACGTTAGCAGTACATGGGAAATGAGCACCAGAAGAGCTGCCATTTGGAGATGTTCACACAAACCATGTATGGCTTTTGTTATTTTATTTGACATTTAAGATGATTATCAAGGTTGCTTCCAAACTAGAATATGATTTAATAATGCATCGGTTTTATATAGCGCTTTATTGGACAGTCAAATATGCCTCACGTTTCTATATACATTCACTCCAAACACGGTGGTGATTAACTACAATTGAATTCACAGCTGCCCTGGGGCACACTGACAGAAGCAAAGCAACCAGTAGGTGAGTAGCAAGACAACCACCAACAACCATTCACACTCAACAGACTTATTTTAGAATGTGGGTATCTTGTCTAAGGACACCAGTTTGGACAGCCGCCCAGGTGTGACCAGGTGCCACACTGTGGCACCTGGTGTTCCCAGATGTCTCCTCCCGTCACAGCACAAACCAGGCCCTGGTTTGAGGCGACAGGATGTGGCTTTCACGTGCAGGGATGGCCACTTGATCAAGAGCAGTAGCACCAAAGCAGAGGTGCTGTGTATGGATGAGAGTTGGAGGACTAAGCATTGGTAAAGAAGCTTTACTGCTTAATTGCCTAACAGTGGTAGAGTTCCGCCTTTGTCAGAGGGAAGATCTTTCCGACTGACCCCTCCCCCCGCCACCTGTGGTCTCTGGAGATTTGAGTCCCATATGTGAGCCAAGGTAAAGGTCCCCTCGTCTCCGTTGATGGTCTATATGTCCCGCTCGGGGTCAGAGATTGCTGATTTTAGGTTTTTTTAATTCTGCTTTTTCCCTAATTCACCTGGTCATTCGTTTTGCTGTTTTGTTTTTTTTTATTCCTCCCGAAGTTTCTTTTTTCTGGTGTTGAAAGTGTTTCTGGTTTCTCCAGATTTGATGATGCACTTCTTTTCTGGTTGGATTCTGTCGTTTGGGAGAATGAGAAATGGTCTATGTTTGTTGTATGTATTATTGCATTGATGTGCTTTTTCCCAAGCTCTCTTTGTCTGCTCCGTGAGCCCTCATATTTATGGTTGGCAACCAGTGTTGGGGAAGTTACTTTTCTCGTTACTTGTTACTTCTTCTAAAAAGTAAGCTGTTTCTTTACTTAGTTAATCTCAAAAGAAATTAAAAAAAATTGTTACTCGTTACTTTCACGTTTCTTTTGCGTTACAGTTATTATGCTCGACTTTGAGGAACTGTTCTTAAATTTGTTGTGGAAGTTCTACTATGAAGATCAAAAAAGGCCAAAGCATGTACAGGAAGTTTGTCCAACTCTCGGATAGATTGATAGATAGATAGACACTTCATTGATCCCTGTAGGAGAAATTCAGGTGTACAGTAACAGCAAAAATGAAAGATAAAATTGATCATTCTAAACGCTAACAATAGTAGCTGTTTAGAATGACCAGTGTCCAAAAATGTTGTTGAATGTAGAGTGTCCTGGATCATCACTATTGTCCTTAGACCCTCCTGCATCTCCAAGGAAAAGCTCTTATAACCCAGTGGGAGAAAAGTGAAAAACCTGAGGGAGGCCCACATTTGATGAGGGATTGTTGGACGAGGGCCGAGGCCACACGATGCAGGACTGAAGCGGCTCCCAGGCGGGGAGGGGTTGCAAAATATGTTTTCTGTTTTCCGTGAGTGATCTTATTGAAGCCAAATGTAACATGTACATTTCTCCATTGTGAAGTTTTATTTTGTCTTATCTTCCAACTAATCTATTTTGGTCATAACGCGAACCAATGCAAATCCAACAAATTTCAGTTCAACCAGTTAGATTCGTTGTCCCACAACCAAATGTTTGGGAATGTTAATCTAACCAATATCGGCGTAACCAAATAGCTGGAAGTTCTTCCCAACCAATGTGTGTTTCGAGTCCACTGATATAGTTCACTAAGTGTGTCACAGTCACACTAGATTTGTTGAATAGCCCTAAAGAGTAGTGACATTTTTCTGCATTTGAATATAATGTCACTCGTCCAAGTGAAAGTAATTGGTCATCAAAAAAATGTCCCACTGTAACAAATTAGTAGACCTGGGATGTGACTGAGAGAGTGTCTCAGAAGTGATTAACTGTTTTCTGTAATTATAGAATATATGACATATATGCTCTAAAATGTGTGTGAAAGAACCACTTTAACACAGATGTATTCATCTGAAACATCTCTGAGGCAGTTCAATCTTACAAAACAATGTAGAAGACACAACATAATAACTCTGTGTGGTGTTAGATCTAAACGTCTTGGTATTAAAAGATCGAGTGATGTTTTATTCCATACACAAAGATTTGAAATACTGTAAAAAGTAAAAAATCATGCAGAATGATGATAAACGTTGCGTGTTTAGCTTTTTTCTTCTCTTTGGTACCATGCTCCAGGGAGGTTGTGCAAGAAACATTTCCACTTGTGCAGGGAAAATAAAGGGCATGAGGGTTTGTAAATCATTGGGTTTGTAAAGATTATCAACTTTGTCTATACCTTTATATCATATGCATAATAAAATGTGCTATTTTACCTTCCTGCTTCTTCACCTGTCTTAACAGACAACAATGATAAGAAATGGCACATGCTAAATCTGTTTGCATGTGCCATGTGCATGGGCTGCTGTTTTAAAGACCAGTTCTCCGTAAGAGGAAAAGCAGAGCTGTGGACTTATGAGTTTAAATCACCTCTCTGCCACGCAGCCTTTAACTAGTCCATAACTGAGAGCCCAGCAGAGGAGCTGATGCTAAGCAGATGTGCGCTGGTTTATCTTGTCAGGACAATGAGCTACTGAAGGAAGCCCCCTGGCTCAGAGGTCTAATCTGGAGTTTGATTCTGAATGCTCCTGATCGCTCATTAACTGTAGTTCTGTGTGTAATGATAATGTAGCAGGTAATATTGTGATGACAAAAGGTCTGACAGGCTGATACTGAGCAGATGCACACGCAGTTTCATCACAGTCTGGACTACACCAATCACACCAAGATTTAGCAGAAAACGAAAAGTCTCAAATTGTGAAACAAGGCCCGTATTTGAAAATGATAAGAAGTCGTAAATGACATGTAATTGGCTCGTCATCTCGCTGATTTGCAACCTCAACAGATTAAAATGCTGTTCCAGCCAATCCTTTAAAAATATGAATTCAAGGACAATCGTTTATAGGAAACAGACTCGACCAGGAGAAAAAGAAAACACCCAAACTGTACTTAACCGACAATAAATATCAAAATTCTGGTGAGCTAATTATGAAATGACGAGTCTTACTTTTTCATTTTCCTATTCCAGGAATGGATATTGACAAACAACAGTAGTGAGGGGTGACATAGGGTGTAATATTACAGAACACATGCCTGTATAGTATTCGCAATCACACACATTTCTTTATCATCGCTCTGCATATTTGACATCTGAAAACCAGAGTAGAGCTCCTCATCCACAGGTGCAGGCCGGTTGAGTTTCAGGCCACGGCCATTGTCCCGGGACAGGTGAAGGGACGGATGAAGTGAGCGGACGACAGGAGCATTCAGCGCCTGTTTGCTCCCACAATGACCCCTCTCTACACAGCTACCTGCACCTATGGGAGCTGGAGTGGGGTAACTATAGAGAAACATACTCTGCATCTGTGCCCTCATTGACCTTAGTGACCGGTGTCCAGTTCGCCTGACCATCTATATCATTTCTGAAGCACTAATCACATACAGTATCATCACAATTCTGGAGCTTTTGTTTGCCTGCTACAAATAGATTAAGTTAAGTGGATCTATGACAATAAAGAGGAGGGGGTTGGAGTCGTTCATTAATTGTAGCTCTTTTGCTCCCTCCAGTGGACAATGTACTCCAGTTGAAAACCACAGTTAATGAACCTGTAGTTAATGAAGTATTTGTATTTGTAGGCTTTGTTTTGTTGCTATCGTTGGATTAAGTGCAAATAAGAAAATGGTTCAGTTTTGACGCCCGTGGAACACATGGTCTTTCTGTATGATATTTCTAATATTAATAACTAGTATAGCCGCAAGCGGTGATGAACGCCCCTCACCTTTACCAAAATACTGTTGTTTGTTCAAATATTGTAGTGCTTCTGAATACAGTTTGTATATGAACTTATTTTGAGATATGAGAATTTTCCCATAAACCAACATTTTGTTATTGCCGCGAAAAACAAATAAAGCATTCACTTTTTTTATTAGAATGCCAAAGACAAAAAAAATCTAAAATGTTTTGAGAAACATTTTTTTGGGAGATTTGTATGATTAAAATGTCTTTGTTATTCAAATGTGTGCTCGGTCAAACAAACACCATTGAAAAAACCATTATCAAGGATCTGTAGCTGGGTCGATTTCTCATTGAAACTGGCGAGTTGCTGCCATCACTATAGCATTACAGTAGGAAATAAGGTATGAGTCTCCTTGACTTTTGGATTGGGAGGACCAAACAACATTTATGCAAAATTCCAGAATACCCCCGAAATAATACATTTCATGTACTCTGTAGGGGGCGCTGATCAAACCTTTTTTCACATTGCGCTGGTTTAGGGACATTAACAACGGATTCAAATTGCACATGTTTTTGTGTAAATACAGTAAGAGCACTTTTTAAAAAATCTGCAGAGACGATGTGGAATGATTATGTAGATATTTAGATTAGTATGTACGTGTGTCATCAGGGTGATCAGCTGATTTCTGAATACTCTGATTTACAGGAAGTCGGAAGATTACGTAGATATCTGCAAGTTTCCGAGATCGTATGAAAAGGCATAACTTACGCCCTTAGGCACCTTAGGCTCCACCCCTTTGCTGTCACTGGACCCCATCTATAATGCTGGCTTTTTACAATACATATTTATTCACGAGTCACTGAGTATGTTAGTCAATGTTTAGTCATTTAAGTAAGTCAAGAATGATATTTTTTATACTTTATTTTTTATTTTTTAGCGCCTGACGTTTTAGAGTATAGATATTTTTTCCATTAATTTCATTACATTCAGACCCACGTTCATGTTTTTAGTAGTACAGGACCTAGAGGAAACCTACACAGACACGTGGAGAACACAGACAGGCTTAACGTCTGGAGGTGGAATCGAACCCAGTTTTCTTTCCATATATTTTGACCCATGAGATGATACTGGATAATTTCCAAGGGCCCACCAAACTACATCTCAAGGTTGAAAGACACTGTTCTATAGTGTCAGTCGAGAAATCGCCCCCAGAATCTTCCGCTACTTTTCTGTTTTTTTAAATTTATTTTATTTGTTTGTTTGTTTGAACAGTATCAAATTCTGCTCAAAAGGAGTGGGCTGAAAGTCTTATGAGCACCCCCTTCCCCCAAATCAACACAATCACACTTTTCATACATCACAATAAAGATAATGTAGAACAAGGACACAAAAGCACACAAACACACCACTACAACTACAGTCTAAGCTAGTAACAAAAGGGAACCACATAACTATTTTACACTGAGCTTGTTATGAAGAAACATACATATAATAATCAGTAATATTAATATACTTATCATGCTCAAAGATTTCTAGATGTCATTTCAGTCCTCAGTACAATATTACTCTGAATACCTTTTTTGAATTTTCATTTTTATTTTATTAAGTACAGAGTATGATGTAACCCTACATAGTGTGTATGGGAATCACATGTGTACAGACTTCATAAATGTTCAAATTGAGTAAATGGTCATGATTGTTCCCTCACTCTGCAATGTGTCACTCAGACATATCAATGATTCCACTATGCAGTATGAGTTCATGTTCTTGGTTTTTGTTTTTTCCCCAGCAGAGGACCTTGACAGACGAGAGGACAGCAGACTTCACCCCAGCGTGACACCCATCCATCCGCAGTAACAGGAGCGCAGCACAGAGACGTCCCACAAAGGCCTGGGCCGGTCAGAGGCAGCACTCACCACAAGAGAAGGTCAGTGTGTGTGTTTGATGATGCTCTGGTACACTTAGCCTCTGTCCCATCATCAAAGCACACAGGTGAGGGCAGCATTGTGAGCACGGGGCTCTCGAGTTACCCTTTCAACTCGCTCAGGGTACATCAAAGACCGCCTTTTACACTGCACAAAATACACGCGCAAATTCATGAAAAATGCAGCAACGATCAGACACATGAAATACTCAGAGGCAGAGTTCCGCTAATGCAGGAGGGTCTGGAGTGGACGATACCTACAGTATAATGGCTGACATTTCTGAGCCCAGTATTTGTGATCTTAAAGCAATGAAAAACAGGAAAATCCTCTTGTCATCATAAAATATGAAATTATTTGGTGTGTGAGAGTATCATATTTGGAAACAAAGAAAAACAACACCTTTATTATCATTCTTTCACTTCATGGACTTTTACTCAAAATTCTGGACCAATTTCTTTTTCACTGAAACAAAAAAAAAACTTCCACCATGTTTACAAATAACATAAATGCACACATCTGTGAGACACATTGTATAGGTTTTAGTACATCATACTGCACAATCAGAACGATGACTTCAAAAAAGCTACAGATTGGATTGGCCGATAATCCAGTCACAGTGAAAGGTGAGGGTATATGAGTGAGGTAAAAACATAATGCCTGAAACTCCTCGCACTGTGCCACATTATTAGTGTTTGTCGCAGACTATTTATTTGCTGTGCTGATGTCATCATAGTATTAGCCTTCACCTGGAAGAGGCCGATTAGAGGCCGAGACCCTCTGTGCGCGTGCATGAAAGCCACACACGCACGATGAGAGATATCTCCCATCATGCGTTGCGCTAATCCACTGCGCAGAACCAGGAGGACCAGACGATGCCCAAATATAGGCGAGTTCAGCTAATCTCCCTGTCTCCATGACGTCCCATGCGCTACTGAGCACAAGCCATTCATTTGAATAGGGCGCCATCTTGGATCGCCGGGCTTGGACAAAACCTGTTCGTGAGCACTTCCCTATTGGGCTCCAATATGCTAGGGGGTTAGCAATGTCCATCTATATACGGTCTAGGGTTGGTCAATCTCAATTTAGTTCTTAGATCTTTCGATTTTAGGCACAGATCCATCCATCCATCCATCCATTTTCTTCCGCTTTATCCGTTGCCGGGTCGCGGGGGCAGCAGTCTAAGCAGAGACGCCCAGACTTCCCTATCCACACACACTTCCTCCAGCTCGTCCGGGGGGACCCCAAGGCGTTCCCAGGCCAGCTGAGAGACATAGTCCCTCCAGCGTGTCCTAGGTCTTCCGCGGGGCCGCCTCCCGGTGGGACGTGCCCGGAACACCTCCCCAGGGAGGCGTCCAGGAGGCATCCGGAACAGATGCCCGAGCCACCTCAACTGGTTCCTCTCGACGTGGAGAAGCAGTGGCTCTACTCCGAGCTCCTCCCGTGTGACTGAGCTCCTCACCCTATCTCTAAGGGAGCGCCCAGCCACTCTGCGGAGGAAGCTCATTTCGACCGCTTGTATCCGCGATCTCGTTCTTTCGGTCATTACCCAAAGCTCATGACCATAGGTGAGGGAGGGAACGAAGATTGACCGGTAAATCGAGAGCTTTGCCTTTCGGCTCAGCTCCCTCTTCACCACAACGGTCCAATACAGCGACCGCATCACTGCGCACGCTGCACCGATCCGCCTGTCAATCTCACGCTCCATCCTTCCCTCACTCGTGAACAAGTTTTAGGCACAGATTTAGATTAAAATTTAGAACTTCAGAAAATTTTTGTCATTTTGTTTGAACAGTGATGATCAATACTATGATAGTAGACTCACTGTAGGCCTGCCTGCACTTGCACTCAGTTCTAGCACTTGTTTCCAAAGACATCTGCTGCTCCTGGACATACATTTGTTTGGTGACATCTTAACAGTGGAAAAACAGACCTCACTTCTGGGAACATGGCAGTTTGAGATGATGCCCTTGTGCAAAGGCGTTCAGCTGTTACAAGTCAAGCCGGCCATGGGACGAATTTGCCTTTTCTGCCTCTTAAAACCAAAGAGCATCTAAGCCACTTCTATAGGTCCAAAACGAAATGCACTGCTTTGAACCCCTGTGTACGTTCGGCGGGGAATAAGACGTCACCTCCTCAACCACATGGCCGCTCTGTGTTTTATTACAGGGTTTTAACTTTTCCTATTTCGTTTTTCGTGGCACAAATTGTCCTCGTTTTGGTACATGAAAAAAATCTTTGGATCCAAAACAAATATGTGAGGAAAGTTGAAGACTTTGCTGATGACAAGTTACACACTGAGCCTGCCCATGTTCTTTTCTGTAAGTACATAAAAAAACAAATTATTGATCTAAGTCGTATAAACTCAGCTTTTACCCGTTCAACCTATTTTTTTCTCATACACAAGGCAACTCAAAATAACATAATCATAATTTGTCCCAGTACATTAAAAAGAGTAAAGATAAAATATCTCAGTTGTATGCAGAGCTAAACATTGTCAGAGAAGGACCCTGTCTCACATTTTCAGGAAGATTGAGCTAGATTTTAGCTGCATAAATCTGAAATACTGCCTCTCCAGCTTGAGCTTTGGCCTGTTAGTATTTGTATGGCCTGGTAAGCCACAATGATATCTTATATCTGATGTATATTCTGCTGTACCACGGCCATGCACCCATGTGGCTACATTGCAAACTGTTGTGGTGCCTCATGTGGTCGGATGGACTGTGGTCTGTCATGATGCTTCTGTCGGTCGGCTTCAGGACAGATGTGGCATCAGAAGTAGCTTACCACCATCGAGTGGAGTACAGTCTATGGTGGAGTGACACGCTTCCAACAATATGTAGGATCTATGGAGAAAGCACATGCAAATGTAGAGCGACTTTGTGACTATCTCTGTGAAATGGGCAAAGCAGATAACAATGATTAACTCACTGACTACTTATATTGAAGGATGTAGTGGTAACAGCCACACAGAAAGCCTTTAACACCTGCAGTGGAGCTCCTGTGCTGGCTGCTGGTTGGCAGAACTCCAACTCTGTCTGGAGCCAAAATTAGGTGCTAAGTGCGTTACAAAGGCTCACACCAAACTTCTGAAATCAGGACATGACACCTTCAGCAAGTCTCTTATAATCATTTGCCAAAAATACTGTGGGCAGTCAATGAAGGCAATTGTTCCACCTGCAGCAGCAGCAGAACGCAGCTTTCATGGGCCATATACTCACTGTAGGTCTTTGTTGTTCTGCTGTTATATTCACATAGATCTATAGCCAAGAATATTTGCTATAACTACAGGCTTTCATCTACTAATGCTTTTTGGGAGCTGTAATGGTCTGCGTGTTGTGTTGAACAGTGGCTTAAGGGTGGGCCCCCAGCAGTGCTTTTAAGTGAAATTCATGAAACATTTAACTGCAACTGCCTGAAAATGAATAAAATCATATTGTGTGTGCACACCTTTGTTAATGTTGACAATACGATGGCGTGCTGTGAACCATAAATAGCTACGCTCACGCGGCAGTGAAGAGGCCAAGAGGCAAACGTCTGGTTGGTGGGTCCCGAACAGAAGGAAATGTCCTGGAAAACCCCCTCATGTCCCAAAGTTAAAGATACCAGCTTCACAAACAAGGCCTGCACACACGCAGAAGCTTACGCAAACACACATTTCTATTTATTTACCTTGAGAAAACCCCAAAATGTTCAACAAAAGCTATGCTAGGGCAAAATAAAGAGCTATGACAACAAACTTTTCATCATGCTACAGAATATCCAAACATTAAACAAATGGGACCAGTTTCCAGCTGGCTTCTCATTACACTCTATAGATTATAACATGCAACACATGTCGGCACGAGGTGGGAGTCCACATGTGAATGCCCGTAATCGCAGCTTCAGGAAGTTAAGAAAATAACACTCATGCATTTTGGTTTGATGCTGTGTATCTTAGCAACTCACACACAAGCAAACCCAGATTTTCAGCGGTCAGCAAATTGTTTATGGTTTTTGCAGCAAGAAGAGGTGGCGTAGCAACATTGTTTTAAAAAAAAGTCTAAGGGGGAAAGAAGAAAAATAAATACAATCTTTTGTGGTTTGTTTGAGAATGTTGTGTTTGTGTGTTAATCCGGCCATAACACGTACTTTAAATTAACCATTTACAAGAGCCCTCTTCCTGCTTAAAGAATCAAGTGGTTTCCCAGTCAAGCCCCTTATAACATTTTATATACAGGGAAAGCTCCATATTACACTAGCAGGGAAAATATGGCTTCTACTGTCTTACTTTTTACACAGTGTGGTTGGTAACAAAGTCAATACAAACATGGACTTTGGTCTGCTTACATCAACACGTCTCTGAAACACGTTTTAAAGCACAATATATTGCTACATAGAAAATATGACAATAAATGAGTTTCCTGTGCCAACGGTTCAATATATCTAAAGCAGAATAATCAAATAAAACGCTTCAGTGCACAGCGTAATCAAACGGCAGATATTGCAAGTGGTAACAAGCAAAAAGCATTGATACGTTTTTCACGATCGCTTTTTCTTGCATTAAAACAGTATTTTTGTCATGAAAACCTTAACAGATACTTCTAAAAACCTTTGTGCATGTGTATTAAGAATGTATAATGTATTCTCCCATTAACATTTAAATGTGTTGATGGATTGGTATTTGCGTTTATTGAGCGTGGCTAGTTCCGGAGTGGCCGGAACTATTTGCGGCGTAATCTACACATCTAAATTACAAGCAGAGTTGTTTTGAGAGGTCCGTTTTCAAGAAATAATGACCAGTAGAACATTTTGAAATTACATTCAAATCAATAGAGCATTCTACTGCTGCTGTGAGGAGCCGTGTAATAAAGTTTCACAGCTCTAAAAAATTGAATATTGTTCAAATGACCATTCACTCCTGTAATTCAATTTACAATGTGAAACTTTATGTTA